AAGCAAATAATAAATGAATAAAAAATACAGGAGCAACTACAGCTTCAGTGAGCAATAAAAGATGCTTCAGTGCTGGAAAGTAACAGCAAAAGCCCTGAGAAGTAGCATGCTCTGAGGGAATTAGGTCATGAATATACAGTGGGGCAGACTGCAAGAGACATAATWATGAAAACCAAGCCTGAACTACTGAATTGGAGTCAATTATAAGAAAAGGAAAATGAAATTATGGTTCTGATTAAGTTGCATGTTTCAGCTGGGCCAAAACACAACAAAGAAATGTTAACTAAGAGGTTAGGGAAACAAAGAAAATCTGTGAGAAGTGAGGTCTAGGAAACCTGATCTTACTCCCTTAGTGCAAACTGTGGTAGTATCTGAGAATCAAGTGACCACACTGGGCCACATTAAAAAAAAAAATATATATACTATTCCTGCCCCAGAAAATCTGAAAGATGACAAAACCACAGAGTTTTCACAAGAAGGACATGCCATTTTGAGTGCATTTGGCAGCAACAGCAAGAAAATGTTGTCAAACCAGTTTCTAAGCTGAATGTCTGTAGAAGTGTATTCCTGACTAAAATAGCTGAAACAACTGAGAATGCAAACAGAATGGGATTTCTCTAGAGGATAACCACCTCCACAGGCATATTTGTTACCTGCAAAGAGATTGCAGGAGGTTTTCCAAAGARCAGGAAAGCTTTGTGATAGTTAACATTGACACCACATGCATTGCAGCCCTTTGATCGATGCAAACCACAACTCAGTAGCTTAAATCTGACCCTACCTCTACTAAACTGAAATTACAGACTGAATCACAAAACACAGCCTGCAACTTAAATACTCACAGATACCCTAAAACTATGAAGTCAACTGTTATCTTAATGCAATTTGTTCCCAAGTACACACATATGCATCCCCACTCAAATCCTTGTGCACAGTTATTTTCTATGTTTCACAGCACAGGGAAACAAAGTCAAGATATGCAGCTCAACAGCTCTGCATGAYACTATACAAAGTCCTTCCATGCACTTGTGTCAGAAGAGGTAAGTCAGATTTCTCATATTAATTTCAACATGCTTTACAGACTCGAAGCCTCAAGACACTTACAGGAAAGGTCTTCACAGGCAGCCCAAAATCAGATTACAAAGTTATTTTTTGACAAGGGAACAAAGTCCAGGTTGTCTCCCTCATAAAACTACCTTCTATCCTTTATTTAACAGCTTMATACAGCTAAACACTTTAAATACAAGACCAGATTCTATCTCAACATYTCCCACACCCCTGAGCATTAACTAAAACAAGCTCTATTTAGCAGTGCAATAATTGTGCATTAATATTTTAGAACAAGTCAGCTGAATTTTCAAGAAATGCACTTCAATTTAGCGATTAAAAAGCAAAGCTTTGATTGATTATCACACTGCTCTTCTAGCACAGGSACAGGGGAAAAGGATTCTCTGCAGCTACACCTCACCCACCTTCAGAGAATTCACCCAGCATATCAGAGTTCTCACGCAGGACAGGCTGGCTCTCAGGAACACACAGCATTCCAGTAAAGGAGGTGCAAGTTTGCACAACTAAGATCAATCACTCAATAAAGCCTACCTAACTGAATAGGCTTGTGGCTGAAATGTGTAAACCTTACCTTCTGATTTAAGGGTGATATTGTGTCTGTTGCAGAATCAACGGGGAAGATCTGTACCTTCTGCTCAGTGTATGTGTGGAAGTTCAAGAGAGCTGTAACAAGTTCTTGTACAAAAGCCAGGGCCTGGCCAGCAAGGTCTCTCAACTTCAGCTGTAAAGACAGTTACAAAATGACTGTATTTGATATGGATCTAATTAAATAGGAAAGAAAAACCTGCATKATCACAGATTTCTTTCTCTTTACTATTTCAGCCTCAAATACCTAGCAGCAATTATATTTAACTTAATTTTTATTCCTAAACTACAATGCCACAGAATGCACCTTGGTCTATGACAACAAAGTATCTTTTTTTTTTTTTTTCACACAACTGGTGATGCTTTGCCTCTTCTGTGTTTTTCAAACTACAGGCCACAAGAACACTTAGAGGTCAGCTCAATTACAGAAACCATATCCAAAATTTCCAAAGAACAACAGACTAATTGCTGACAACAGCTCAGCACTTGGCTGCAAGGAAACCTCAATTTAATTAGTAAAAATCCATTATGTTTTCTCCAAGAATTAAAGGTGTCTGCTTGTCCTCTTCAATTCTTATTCTTATGGACAGAACTGAGCAGCTGCTCATGAGTAAGGCTGCTCTGTGGCTTTAGTACATTAAGAAAGTATCCAAGAAATTAATCCAGAATGGAACATAAATTCAAGAGAAGAAAGCCATACTCTGCTGTGACTTATGGAGAAGAGAACAAGGCTATAGTGCCATTTCAGCCAAGAAGAACTCATCCTTCAGAGATGTGCTTCTAATGCTTCAATGGACTGTTAAATCAAGTCAAGTGATTATGGATTTGGGATGGTGGCGAGTAATTAATGCAGTCATTACACTCAGTCTGTGTATGTTAATTAGCCATGCAAGGAAGGAAAACAGACACTATTACTGTTGTGCTGTCCTTTACACTGCAGCCTGTGCTAACACACCAGCATTTTGCCTCCACTGGCAAAGCCACTCATAAAAATCTGTCCTGGAATATTTTCAAGACTGCARATCTTGAAGCATGAGGCTTCCTGACATAGTCCTGGCAGAAAATAGTAAAAGGAGAAACTCTCCATGAAGTTATTCAGATTTTTCTTGGAACTCAACAGCAGCAACCTGAAATTTAGGGCTATTTCCATCACAAAACTGAACAGCAGGTCACCTGTTCTCACAGCAGACATTACTAGRAAAAAGGTCTCTTTACAGGCACTTCTGTTATAAATCTTTCTGCAGTAGCATCTGAATGCACTGACTTGAAGGTTTGTGGCATACAGGCGAACAGAAAAAAACCACAGTGCTGTGGAGCCCATCCTCAGTGGTATCAACACAGGAAAATTTTAACTGCATCCAGGTTTCTGATTTGCTGTTGTAAAAATCCTTAATACATKTAGCCATTCACAGAAAACCAATGCTCATTTTCGAATACTGAATGTAGAACATTCCCAAGGAATCTTATGAAACTACAGTAGTGAACTGAAACTGTTTTCTAAAAATATCTCAGTTTATAAGGGTTATTTTGCTGTAAATAAGAGGTGCTATGGCATGAAGTATCCCACAAAATGTAAATGAGCCGTGCAGAAATCTCAACGTGACACAATTTATTCCTTGAAAGGAATGTAACTAGTGACAAGTCATGTTAACTAATATTGCATTTTAGTGCATGCACCAACGTGCAATTCACAAAAGGAAACATTCTCKGGAGCCCAAGTGATGTGATTGAAGGAGCTCAGTTTGAGGCAAACGGAATTTAAAACACCAAACTTATCTTTTTTCAAGAAAAGATCTCTGAGCTAATATAGTTTTAATCAACTTCAAAAATGAAATGCTCCAACTTCTAGCTTACTGCAGGTTGACACAGTAAAAGAATTTTTTCATCTACCTTTAATAAGACTCCTTGACATAAGAACAATATACACCACCTCTGGAAAAGTGCAGAGGCTCKGTGGGCAGAAATGCCCTTAGAATATTATGACAGTAATTAGTAAGACAGGCTATCTTCTGCCATTTCAGGTACTAAAATGAAAGGATTTATTTCAGTATCYGTGTAGAAAGTTGCATAGAGTCCCATGAAACCACAAGAAGTGCTTACCTGATTCCTTCTGTTGTGTAATGGTACATTCAGAGCATTGTATCGAGYAGATCCTACAGGACAAAAATTGAGTTATATGAACTTATTAAATTTGGGAAGGGTTTAAGAGACATTTAATGGTCAACATTGATTTTAAAAATAAAATAAAATTTCATTGCAGTAATATTACCAGTCAGTARGCAATAATAACTAAAGAGATACAAATAACTGACTTCAATAAGGTAGGCAGGCATAAATATCCTCACTTAAGAACAGTTCCTGTGATTAAGTGGAGAGAAAGCAGTTCAATACACTCCTYAGACTGTAAGTCAAATTTAATCATCTTAAAACCCTGAATTTGATAGATAAGAGGAGAATCCTCTTGCTCAAAGAACAGTATTCATCACAAACAAGTGAGAGTGAAAACATCTTTTCAAAAGAAATCACACTTAGAGAATTCAAGATTATCTTCAAATTTCAATTGCATTATTCCAAGGAGGGCCAAGTAAGACTAACATATTTGTGAATGGTGTCAACGTTTTTTAAAGCTCCTGCACTTGATATGTTGATGATTTAGAGTAAGATGTACTCTCCACGTATTTCAGCATTCTGCTCCAGTCACAAAGTAACTAGAATGGTTATTCAGTCACAAGCAGGCACATTTTTTAAAGGGGCAGAGGGCCATTTGCACCTAGAGAACAGCTTACAAAGTCTCATAGACTTGAAAGTGATCACATCCATTCTCAATTCGGTTGAACAACAACCAGTTTAGTTTACAATTTGCTCACAAAGGACATCTCCAGTTTCTTATTCCTTTTGTGCCATTCACATTTGGCTACTAACACATGGGAAAAAGTACATTTAGAGAACAAAAACCCTGTCCAAAACTACTGAATCCTAACGAAATGCTTCAGAAAACTTTATTTTTCTACTCTGGAAATCTTGCTTAGTAGTAGGAGAAAGTAATGTGATTGTTACTGAAATTAGCTGCCAGTTACACTTGAAGCCAACTACAGAATCTATAAGAAGCTGGAATCCACAGCAAACAAACATCTCCTGACTTTCATTGATCTATCACTAAAGAGATGTTCTCTGTTAGCAGTGTGTGCTACTACGCAAGCAAAAGCATTAAGCTATGGCAGCTGAGTGAGCAGATAAATTATTTTAGCAAAGTTTTTGCTACAATGATAASCACCTATAAAAAATGCAAGCTGAAGAACCCAGAGAAGTAGAATAGGCAGCAGATGCCAGGCAAAGTGAGGGGAGAGAAGTGAAAAGGAAAATAATTCAAGGCACCAACACTAAGCATGATGTGCTGTATGGGAGTGAACATTTCCTAAAGAGATGATGATCTGGTGTTCCTAAGCCAAGACTCACTGGATTGCCAAACCAGTGGAGAACTTGGAACACTCACCCCTGCAGCACCTGCCAGATCAGCTTTTAGAGAACCTAAGGCTATTTAAAACATTGTCATCAGGTTTTAAACGGAATGAAAGAGGCAAAGGCTGCCAATGAAACATACGGGCAATTCAAAAGCCTGCTTTCACTTCTCTGCTCCTCCTGCCCTGCTTCACTATTCCAGGTCCTCCTAGCCTTGAAGGGTCCAGAGGAGTCCAGGCAGTGCCTGCCCACTTTGTGTCCAGCTATTTAGGAAAGCACAGAGTGCACAGCACTGACCCAGCACATACTAACCCGTGCCTGTACCAGAGCCATGCAAAGCCTGGCCACTCCTAGCACCAGGAGATCCTCTGCACTTCAGTTCATCTAGCAGCAGTTGGAAAGGAAGCACAACAACATTGCTTCAGGTCAAAGGGCTTTYTTCCATGAACAGACAAGGGGGTCTGAGACAACATCCAGGTAAGARCCAGTGTGTTTGTGCTCTGACCAATGGGATACCCTGACAAACTTCCCACTAAGAGCAGACCATTATTGATCCAACACCTCTGCAGCCATCAATTTAGCCCCACCTTAACTTACTGCAGCTCTTGACTGCAAAAATACCCTGACAAAAAACCCACTCTTTGAGATGAGTAACCAATCTTTATGGAGCAAYCATTAAATTGACAGTGTTCCCTCATCATTTACAATATTCTGTCAACACTAAGCAAGACAAGTGACAAATCACTCAAAAGCCTTCAAAAGTTGCAATTTTCATTATGTATATGAAAACTTGATATTTTAGAATTACTAAACAAGACCATGACAAGTATGAGGAATACTTACTACAGTTACCTCCAAGTGTGTGTTCAGATGTCCAACATTTCTTACAGCTAATACATTCTAATTCATAAGGATTACTTCCTCCAGATGGATACCCAAAAAAATCAAATAAGATACCCAGASCAAAGCAATACGTACTTGTGTCATTAAAAGGTACTTTTTCATTAATTATGCATAGAGATTCTTCCAGTCTACTGCCCAAAGCCGCTTGAAGGTTCTTTAGCTGTTGCTGGCTAAACAACAAAGAGACAAACGAAAAACCACACACACACACACATTTGTAAACCTTTAAAATTGCATCTGTATCACCAACACCATATCTCACTATAAGCATCTCTTGAGTGTATAGGATCTGTCTCCTTCTACAAGTTAGATACAAATAATACAGTAAGAATCATTTGTCCTCCTTTCTGCCATATTTAACACTACATTGAATCCTAATCCCTAACAAAAGCAGTGGAAGTTACCATGAACTTGTAAAYCCTAAATTCTTGAGAAGCTCAATCTACCTCAGAGTTAAAATTCACCTTATTTTCCTATTGTGCAACTATTATATAAGCAACATGAAGGCATTCTTTTCAACTAGAATTTGAATGGGAATGCAAAAGGGCCTTCAAATTAGTCACTATGCATCCAATGCAGTATTCCCATAAGCAAGCAATGAGTTATCAATAATTCAATTAGCTATGTCACATCACTGTTTGAAATACCTTACAAGCTTTTCAAAACCCCACATTTAAACACTGCYATGATACTGCCTGCTCTGACAAGACTTGACAATTATGTTTCTGATGCATTCTCAAGTGATATTTTTGTAGTTTTTCTTTGCTTGTATTTGACTGTGTATATACACATGAACCTAAGTAATTAAGATCATTAATATCATTAAAATAGATTTCTGAGACGAACATTAATATATTCCAGCATTATATACATATGGCTACAMAGAACACTCCATATTGATTCAGACCAAACTCCACACCTTACCCAAATTAGGCCCCCAAATTCTTCACTGTTTTGCTTCTGTTTGACATCTAGAACTCCTGCACATATAGTGGAGGGTGGGAAGGGAGTTGTGGAAGTGACAAAGGTTTTTTTCCTTTTTTTTACATTTGATACACAGAAACAAGGCAAAATAATCCAAAATAGACAAGGAAGATATCAAGAAACCGGCCAAAAAGTAGCTCATGCACATTAACAAGTATTTTTCTTGGAGAGCAGCTTCAAAATTGCATAGAAACTGTACAGCAGGTACTGCAGTAGCACTGAGCATGATGAAAAATGAACTCCAAGACAAACTGCAAAGGTACTGATACTTCCTTTCCATACTGAATGACAAACAAGTAGTTKGACATGTTTTGCCTTACATTCTGCCCTTTAATTTTCAAAGCATGCAGGCTGTCAAGTYCCATATCCCCTGGCTTTCCTGAGTYAAGTGTGGGTGTCTTAGGCAAATGGATCCCTTCCCCTGACAAAGCAGCAAAAGCAGAAGAGCAATATTCTCAGAGACATATTCTGCCATGYGTTCAGTAGACAGTAATTTTGGTATTTAAAATGAACTGTGGGGCTTGATTATTATTAAAAATTTAATAYAGTATAACTTAGAATAGTAGGGACAACTTCTTACAATGACATCAATTACCCAGTCTCACAGAACATGATAGACAAGGCCTGAACTGAATAGTAGCAGATTAAGACTACAGTTTTTCAAGCATCACAAAAAGAACAAATGGCAGCCAAACACAGCCTTCATCCTCTTTTGCAACCAATTTTTAGTGAAACCCTGACCTATACTAGACGGGAGTTACTGGATTCAAGTATCTTCACATCTATCAAAATAATTAAAATATGCAATTCAGGGTTACCATGTGAAAGAAGGACCTCATGATTCACCACACATCTTATTCATTACATTAAAGTTCTATACTGCACATGTCTCTTTTTTAAAAATGCACCTTAATGAACTTCAGAGAAATGCACCCTAATTTGACCTGGCCCACTGTCCTCAAGTTACCATTTTCTATAACTTGTCTTCAAGACAACCAAAATATTCAAAACCTAATATAATTCTCTGACAAAAACTTCTTAATATTCTAGTTGAGAACATTGTATCTGAAGCAAAAACTATCATTCAAGAAGCTTTTGTAGTGAAGRGGGATTTTTAAAACTCCTTTCAGTCAGTTCTCTCAGCATGTCAYCCAAACATTGTTTTTAGAAGTAGTTTTTACAAATTCACATATCTTTGTTTCATACAATTTCTATAGTTCTCCATTTCAAATAAATTCTTCAAGMTTTCATCAACTTAAAAAGCTACTTAAAAAGCTTGGAGACAAAACTGCTCTCACTGAAAGCACAATTTGTGGAATTGTCTAGTTCCATACACTGCAAAGGCAAAAGGCACTTGACCTGCACAGGTCAGACTTGTCTTTAAGATAATATAATTTGAGTTTTATCAAAGCTCTTTTTTTAAATCCCTTTTTAAAAACGTATTATTCTTAAAAAAATAATCCAGGTGATGTTTTACAGCAGTTATTTCTTTACATCAATGAAATTTTCATTATATGAAATAAAGACACTTACCATTCTTCAGTTCGAAGCCTACAGTCCTTAGCTTCTCTTTCTAGTGTCTGAGACTTGATCTTTATGCAAGAAGAYAATCTCACAATGTAAGTGCTGACACGGCAAAACATTGCATTTCAAAACTTTTCAAAYTTGCAAGCAAGAGCAAAAACTCCTTACTTCTAATTTGGCTTTCTCGTTCTGCAGCTTTTCTATGGTCTCTGTGTATTTCTTCGTTAAGCTGTCCACCACAGCCTGGTGCTGGGCAGCATCAGTTTCCAGAACCTCCAGTCTACTCCTCAGCTCTGCTTCTAAACGTTTGTGCTGCTCATCTGCTTCAAAGAACTACAGGAAGAAAAGCAAAGCTCTTAAAGAAGCTTCATTATACTATCGAATACAGTTCTGTATACTCCAATTTCATTATCCAGTTCAGGTTAACAGCAAATACTAGTTCTCAGACAAATAGAAATTTTATTTTATTTACATAGAAAATATTTAGGAACAAAGTACTTTAATAAAAACAAAGTTAYGTAGTACCAAGCATTCCTTAAATATATTGCTGACTAAAACAAAACACAAAAAAGTGAACTTGAACCATACAGTTTTTCTCAAGTTTTCTAAATTAAAGTGAAATGCATTCCATTTTGGTAAAGTAATTCCTGATTTAATTATGGAAACTTGCAGAAAATATTTTAAACTTGAAGGCAATTGTGAAACAGTGAATAAGGAATTTCCATCCCTTACCAGACTATTTTTAATAGGGCAGCTGTCACCAAAAGTTAAAAATCCAAATGAGAAAACAAATATTATGTGATTCCACAGACTGTCTTAAAAATCTAAAGTAAAAATACTTTCTTATTTGCCTAGTGAACATTTTATAAACAAGCTATCTGATCTAATGTACTGCTTTGCATACAACTAAGCTTCTAAATCCACCARTCTTCAGACAGCACTTTCCTTATTTTTTGTGTCACCAATTTTCTGAACCAAAAATAAGGGCTAAACAAAATTTCACTCACAAGTATATGTAGCCGTTCATTTTCTTCTATTTTCTTCTGAAGATCTTCATTGAAGACACTTTTCTGTTCTTGACTCAGTTGAGATGAGGATTCTACACTTTTCTGAAACAAACAAAATGCACTCATTRTCTCCAAGTCCCAGGTTTGTGCAAACAGTTCCCATAGCTAATTCCCAAAAGGGGCACACGAGCAGTGTCCTGGTGACACAGTGATCCATCAAAAGGTGTGAGTATTGCACACAGCAGCAGCCTGAAGGCAGCACACTTTGCTCCACACAGTGGTACAACACTCACTGGGAAAGCCTCCACTCAGGCATCTCACTCACACCACATGGAATCACTCGTACAGGCAGCGGCTTGCAAAGGCAGTCTGATGGCCTTCAAAATTTGGAAACACAGCTAGCAAAACAGTAATGCACACAATATGAAATGGAAGAACAGAAGGGTCAAACTGCATTTCAAAGAACAATCCACTGTGGTGCATGAATAACACAGTTGGAAGTATTACACTTGTCAAGGAATTAGACAGCAAAAAAAAAATGGACAAGAGTTTAGGGTAAAAGTAAGGAAGTTGATAATATCAACAATCAACTGAATTACTTCTTTAATGTCAGTCTTGAAAACTACTGAGAGCTAACCAAAAACACAGGACAGCAGTAATTAAGAGATATTTTCTCATGAGGAAAATAGCAAGAGATGCTTAAGAATTGCATAAATCCGAGCACACCACCCCTAGAATTGTGATGTTACCTACAGAAATCACAGCTGAACTTGGAATATKATATTAGTAGGTTTAATCATCAAGATTTTGGCAGAGATATCACAGTACTGAAATTACTCTGTCATTTTGAAATAACAAAGAATACAAGCTAAAATTTTAGATTTCAAAGCATTTGACAAGATTCACATAGMAAAGCTATGATCACAGGCTGAAGAGTTAACTACCAGCATCAAAATTACAAAGCAAAGAGGTGGGGATGGGAAATGAGGAGTGATCAGCTTTCTGCACAGCAGCTGACTGATCACAGAGCTCCAAGGTATTCCCCAGATGTTTAAACACAAATATCCACAAAGGAAGACAGCAATTCAGTATCAGTCACTGACAGATTAGAAGGGGAAACAACTACACAGCATGTATTATACGTATATCAATACCTGCCTGATGGGTATTTTCACTAACATCAGCTAATAACAAAAGTTCTGACAAAAGCAGTCAGCTCAACCCTTGACACAAAATACCTACTGCTAAAAATCAGGATAAGGCTTTGACAGGTGAGGAGCAGACATCTGCTAAGCAAGTTTTTTTTTTTTGCCTTCAGCACATACTTTGTTCTTTTTGCCCCGAGCTTCACTTAATGCAAGTTCATCTTGAAGTAACTCCACCCGCTTGGCAAGCTGCTGATTTCGAAAGGTCAAGCTGTCCATTTCTTGTTGCAGTTTTCTCAGGGACTGATCCTTCATCTTCAGTTGCTCCTGAATGACAAYAAAAAATTAATTTTAAAATGTTCAYGCTTATTTTTACACAAGCTTTTAAGWAGTATCACATTAAAAACAAGAACAAATTAGAACAATAGACTAGCTGCAAAYCAGAAATCCTCTCAGTAAAAGCAAGTTCTTTCTTCATTCTTTCATTCACAATACTTTTGAGTAAAAAGTACCCGTTTACTTATTTTGTCACAGCTCAGTACACCTGGCATGAGCAGTTTTTGGAGATTACCTTCAGGGAAGCAGAGTTTGCTTGCTCATCTACAACTCCTTTTTTTAGGACTTGGTTCTGAGCACGAAGCTGAAAAACAAGAGATGCCAGTAACTATGCAAGACAACAAAATAAATAAAAGTCATTCATAAGAAAGAATCATATTCTGTCAGGTGCAAATGCTTTTTCAAGTATTCTCTTTGGGTACATAGTAGTGGTATCAGGTTGAAAAAAAGTAACTGACTCAAATCCTGACTTAGCAAGAAACAAGAAATTACCACCTGAACATATCGGTCAAATAGAACAGAATTAGTACTCAATAAACACGTATGAAGAGCAGTTACTTAAATATAACTAACATTTGAAGAACTAGGAACAAATATGAAAAAGTTGCAACTTCTTCCTTGACTAGTGAAATTCTTGGTTATATTCAATTCTATTTCTGTCTCCTCTTCCCTTCCCAAAAACGTTTATAACTGGCTCTGGAACAAAAGCGAGACTCACAGGATCAAAATCTGRATCAATCCAAGAGCAACTTACTATAATTTAATGCTAAATTACTTATTACCAGTTRCAGCAGATGATCCAGAGAGAACAGACTGACACAAAAAGGCATAAAAAGCATAGAAAGAGAAGCCCCCTAAGCCTTACTTATACAGTTGACAAATCTGAGCTAGAACCACTGCAGTGAAAAGTGATACTCAAGAAATCTATTTCCCAGTCACTCCACAGAGTACCTCTACCCTGCAGCAGTGAGGATACCGACAGTTCCATCTTCCCATTCCTTGAAAATCTCTTGAATTCTGGTTTCTTCAAAGGCAGTGTGTATTCATTTGACATGTGTGAGTCCAGCTGTTGCAGATATAAATTAAAAGGGTTTGTACAGTGTTTGGAAATAATTCTGGCAGGTGCCTAGAAGCCAAGATTGAGTGTAAACCAGCAAAGGCTGATTGTTTCAGTGTGATGACTGAGGGGATCTGAAAGGTCAGAAGTCACTGCTAGGCACAACTGTTTCCCCTGCAGTACGCCCACTGCGCTGCTCAGGCATCACAAAGGCAAGACAAGAGACCTCCAAGTGCACCACAGAAAAACTTCCAAACACATGGTCTCCTTAGCAAGAAAAAGCAGTGCAGCAGTTTTCCACACCTGTTTTTCTGCCACAGCTACTACTGCAGGAACTGTCAGGTGCAGTGAAGGAAGCAGCTTAGTTCTGCTGCACCCAGAGACCCCGACTGAAGTGTGATCTACACGGGCTGCCACAAGCTGCAGGAGCCTTTTGACTATTCCTCCATGAGAAGCTGCAACCTGTGTGTTTTCAGAATCTCTTTTTCTCTCATCCTTCTCCTGGACTGCTCTGTGAACCGAGAGGAAAAGCAATCCTTTGGCCAGAAGTTGCCCCAGCACTGCTTGAGTCTGTCAAAGTTTGTCCACCTCTCTCCTTGGCTTTCACAACACATGAAGTGAACAGRCTCCTCCAGGGCTACTCTCCATTTCCACCTGCACACAACAAGCAGCCACTGAACAACAGAGATCTGCAGAGAGGAGAGGGTTCTGTAAAGGGGAGTCCCACAATGAACTGCACTGCACAAGAAGTGGGATGAGACAAAAGAAAAGGTCCTGCAAAGGATCGAGGAAATGCTGCAGGCTGAGAAGTGCATGGTGAAGTTCAAAGAAAGCTTTTGGACACCATGATACTAAAAGAAAGAGGATCCAACAGCTGGAACTTTCGGAAGCTGTACTCTGAAGTCCACATTTCAAATGCTCATTCAGGAATCAAGCACCAAAAGCCTTCCATTATCTTATCCTCAGCCACTATTGATCTCCAAGGAATAGCAGAGCCACTCTATAAAACAATAAGATATATGAACYCTGGGACCTATAAAACTGCAAAGTAAATGAAATTTTCTTAAAAYAATTTTATGGAAGCATTAAAAGAGTATCTCTCTGTGAACAATTTAGATTCTACACATGGCATTTCTGTAACAGTTCCAAGGAGAAGAGTATTTAAAGACACACGGTTCTGTAAGCTGGGAAAAGTGTCAAATACAGACTAATGCCTTGTGCCAATCACTGATGCTGGGCTACACAAAACCAAAGCGCGGCCTTTCTTCCCCAAGGCTATTGAAGGCCTGTGCCATTCAAGACCAACCAAGTCTCCTCTTCCTTTTAGTGAGGAAAGAATAAAGAGCTCTGTATTASGCAAAGCTCCACTGCTTTAGAAGTCATCTCAGGCATCTTGGAAAGGAAAGGCGTTTTCCACTGCTTTCCACATCTTTGCAACCCCTGTGTCAAGCAGCACCAAAACAGGATGCCAAAGTGACCCAGGGCAGAGGAATGGGGACAGAAGGGAGGCAAAGGTCCTGTTGGATTCCGAGCAGCTCGGACACGGCCGAGCCCCACAGGCAGCGCTCGGTGCGAGCCCACACGGGTGAGATTAACCAACACCTCGGCAAGAGCTCACAGCCAGCGGCTCAAACCAACGGGAAGCGCACAACAAGCGAAAACACAGTTAGTGTCACTTCCCCGGCACAGCTGAGCCACTGTTTGTATTCCGGGATGGTTTGCAAACGGAGCCATTCYCCTCCCGGCCGCTCTCCCTCAGCACCTGCAAACCCGCACCTCCCGTGCCCCGCTGAGTCTGCTCCCCCTCATCCCCCTCATCGGGCCCCGGCACTCCGCGCTGCCCCAGAACCCTTCAGCCCGGCGGGAAGCGGGAGGGCCCCGGTGCCCGGTACCTTGGAGTAYTCCTGGGCCAGCTTCTGGTACTTCCCCTGCAGCTCCGCCGCCGCCGCCATCTCCGCCCGTCGGCTCCGCTCGGCTCGGCTCGGCTCGGCCGGGCTCGGTTGGACTCGGCTCAGCTCGGCTCCGCTCGGCGCGGCTCGGCCGGGCTCGGTTGCGCTCGGCTCGGGCGCTCCCGCCGGCCCCGCACGCCCGCGAACGGGAAGACGCACTTCCGGGTTCAGGGCGGCGGGAACGCGATGACGTAAGCGCGCCGGCCGCGCGGCCAGCGGGGCGGAGCTTTAAGCCGCCGGCGCCACCATCTTGACGCAACTTCCAAGATGGCGGCGGGAGGTGGGCGGGGCTGCGGGCGGCCCGGATCACGTGACACCGGCGAGGCCCTGCCTGCCGCCGCCTGTTGCCATGGCAACGTTAGCGGGGCCGCGCGCGCCCTCCGGACTACGGGGCGCCGCCCCGCCCAAAAAGCTTCGCCCGCGAGCGGGACCGGCGGCTCATGTCGCGACAATCGCGACGGGGAACGTGGCGGGCGATGCTCTGGTGCCCCGGCGCCATCCCTGTGTGGGCACCGTAGCGGGGCCCGTGCCGCGCTGCCCGGCCGAGCGGCGCTGTCGCCAGGGGGAGCCCCGGGCCGGTGATGGCGGGCGGAGCTGAGGCAGCCGCGGTTTGGGGCCTGTAGGGGACTCTGAGGAACAAAAGGCGGCTCGGTGGCGGTGGCGGTGTCAGTGCCAGCCCCTGGATCTCCCTGCASCGCCCAGCCCTCGCACCCTGCCGCAGGGACATCTCCGTTGTGTCCCGCTGGATGGAGGAGAAGGCGGGCAGAGCCCCTGCAATGCCCGCTCCAGCTGCACAAACGCCAATTGCACACTCTCGGGCATCACAGAGAGGGGATCTCATCGGTGCATACAAATACCTTAAAGCAGCTGCCAAGGGGATGTGCCAGGCTCCTCTCGGTGTGCCCCGTGCTCGCAGGAGGCATATATAAACAGATATAAACATAAATAAAGCAGCCGTTCCCCCTCGGCATGAGGGAGATCTGTACACGAGGGTGGCAGAGCCCAGAGCAGTGTCCCTCCCTGGGCACATTGACAGCCCAGCGGGATGTGCTGCTGTGTCCTGCCCCAGGTCACCCTGCCTGCCAGGGATGCTCTGGGTGAGTTCCAGCCGTCCCTTCCAAACAATCCCTGACAATTCTGGCATTCTGCACATCTGCACCCGGTGTTTTCCTGCGGGGAGRCCATCTCTGCTCTCTTYCCATCTCTGCTCTCTTTCYATCTCTGCTCTCTTTCCRTCTYTGCTCTCTGTTCAGAGCCACCATTGAGCTTCTCCAGCATCCAGCCATCCTTYAGASATCGCTGAGGCTCTGCTAATTATCYYCTCTTTGCYTYTCTATCCCCAGATTTGCCAAAYATTTAAATACTAAAATACYATCAGCACACTTCAAGCAGAAACTGAGARCATCAGAAAAGGTGCGTTTGGTCCTGCCAGGTACTCAGCCAACGCAGAATTTTGTTTCTGGACATGCCTGGAAACAGATGTGTAAGGAAAAGAGTAATAAGGCAAAAATGTGATAAGACTTCACCAGTATGTGCTGAGCAYCTGGCGATTTGCAGGTTAAGGGCTTCCTGCTCTAGGACAGAGATGTAGCAGCAAATGGTTATTTTTGTTCAGTTTCCATGGTATCATTTTTTTCCACTTGATTTCAGCACTGTGCCTTCATCGCCGTTGTTCCTCAGTAGTGGGTAGAGCTAGAGGTGATAAATCATCGTTTTGTTACCTCCTTTTGTCTTTGTTCCCCTCAAGTAGGAGTGGATAGTAGGTGCCTGTGATGGAAGCTCATTTTTTCCTYAGTCTTGAGGCTTTGATGGTGCTTTTCTTTGGCTTATCACAGCGGAGTTATTTGCCCTAAATATGACACAGATTAGTAAATATGTTTGTATCTCCACAGGAAGTCTCCATGTTGGAGGACGTGTTGCTTATCCACATTGCCAACAACAGCACTGTGCAYTTTTAGGAAGTGTAAAAGGGGAAATAAGCAAAACACACAGTGTCATCATTCATCCAAATGATCCTGCTGCTGTTGACCAGAAAAGCTTAAACAGCAGTACTGGAATAAGAAATAAGGAAGCTCTAGTTTTTAACAATTTCAGCAATGATCCACTTCTCGTTCCACTCAATTTTTCATTCCCTACTCCCTCAAATTTTCATTCCCTGCTTCTAGTGAAGCAAAGGGGTTTGCAATTGCTGCACATCGGGGTTAAGGGCAGCACACCTTCCATGGTATATCCTTATATGTCAATGCAGTAAATCTCATACAGGAAAAYTATTACATTATTAAAAGCTTTTATTTGACTCCAGCCTGTATTTTTTAGTTTTGCATTTTCTAGAATGTGTCTTTCATTGAAATGTTACATTGGAACATTTTGAACACGCTTTGCAGGTAGTCCCGAGTTTATGGTGCCTTCACAGATGCTTTTGTGATACAGTTTTCTCCTTGTCGCTGGTGCAGTGAATGCTGGCAGAGAGGTTTTCAGCTGGGGTTTTTAGGCTCATCAGAACAGCCACTTTAGTGTATTTAAGCATCAGCCTCTGGTGTTTTAAAGCAGAATTGTCTCCTGCCCAGTCTCTCATGGATCCCAGAGTCCTGGAATGCTGGGAGCATACGCTGTTGTGATTTATCAATGTCCCATGCTGATACTTGGCAAACAGCTTCAGATAAAATCCCCCAAAAGCACAGATGACAGAAGTTACTCAGCTTGTTTGTTGGTTGGGGTTTTTTTAACTCTCAGGAAATTCTCCGAGTCATTCTTTTGATTTGCCACGGCAGCTGCAGCGCCGCTTCCCCAAACGTCAGCTGTGAAAAAATGTCTTTATTGTCGCGTTTCCTCGGCAGCACATGGTTAATTGTGAGGTGTCCCAGCCCTGCACCCCGAGATGTGTCACTGGTGTCGCAAGGCTGGCTTCCACCGCACTGAGTCAGGAATTGCAAAGGAGCGATCCTCCTGGCAGAACTTAGGAGAGATAATGGGAGGGAATGCCACAGGACCCCCGAAATCCCGCCCTGTGCAAACACACCCAACAGGAGATGAGTACAGGGTATGGCAGCAGAGCTGAATGCAAGCTCAAACATGACTGTGCAGCCAAAGAATCCTCCCAGCACTCGGGGATTTTCTGTTCATGGGAGAACAGATAGCCAGGGATAGGCTGATAGAACAGATATCTGTGCTGCCCTTAGGTCCGTGTCAGCAGCCGCTACAGTGGGTGTTGAATTCTAGATGCTGTCTCAAGATAACTCATTTATTCAAGAATTACAGTGGTTGTTTCAAAATGGCCATTTCCAAGCTCATTTGTCCTCCCTTCCCTGCTCAAGCAGTGTCTTTCCCTCTCTGATTAGTCAGAATTTGTACTCACAGAYCCCATGAATAGGTGCAGGCAAAGAAATAAAAAAGGAACGCGTTTCAGATTATCTGGGATGCTTTCTGTGCTTTGGGAAAATAAACTTCATTGTCATCACTTATGTGCTCACAAGTACTCACAACAAAACGGTTTCTAAGAGACAGAAAAAATTCAGAAATGATTGGAAGGGAGCCATCTTCAGTCATCAGACTATCACAAGCAGCACACAAACCACATCCTCGGAAGCTGCGAACACCCGAAACTGGTGTTTTGTTTCTGTTATGGTAGCAACGGCAAGTCTGAACAGCAGGATGTGTGCTCACAATGCACGCTCGTTATTTCTCATGGTGACTGTGACAAACTGCTCGTTATGAATAACCTTTCACCTCGTCTAAACCTGATTGTTCTGATAAAAAAAGACAAGTAGTAAAAAAAAAGTATGTGTGTACAGATAAGTGCTACGTGCCTCAGAGAACAGTTTAATTATTATTCTGCTCATTATCATAATTTCGGTGTTTCCATAGCATTTAAAAATAGAAATGAGAACAAGTCTCTCTGGCTCTCACGTCCCTTCCCAGCCCATAGGTTAAATAGCCTGAGTCATCTATAGGGTGTGTGCAWGGCCAGGGGAGCGGTGCCTTTGTACAGAAACAAATTGCTGAGGACGAGAGGATGGAAAAACTGAGCAGGCAGCTGCCTGGGATAAGTCAGGGTTGAACTGTGCAGCTCACGTTCCACGTGGGTACAGCTCATAGCAGCCCTCTGTCCCTGCACAGCACATCATTGCTGATACTCGCTCCAAAAAACTGCACGACTTCCTAACAGCTGCAAAAGCTTGGGGTTTACTGTTTGCTTTTTAATGTGGAATTCCCCCTCTCTGGGGAAATCAAGCCCCTTCCCTAGCTCTGCCCTCTTTAGTTGAAGGTCTACACATCATCTACAGCCTCATTTCTTGCTTTTCTTGGTGCTTGCAGGGGCYATAGCTGAGAAACCTTGGCATGCCTAGAACTGTCCATGCTGAGATCCCGGAGTCCTGGACATTTGCTGGAGAAAGAAAAACAAAAGCAATACACAATAAATCCCCAGAGACTAAATGCCTGATTTCATAGGGGAAAAAAAAGGAATTGATGAGCATTGTGAGGATTCTAGGGTGGGGAGTGGATACTCTTCCTGACTYAGCCATGTGAGGATCATCCACAAGCATGGAGCAAAGATGTGGTGGGTTTGTCTTCTCTCCAGACACAGAGAAAGGAGAGAGACGGGAGATTTACCAGGAGTTCAGGGAACATTTTAATCAGAACTATCCCTGTTCATGGTTTTTTTTTTTTTTTAATCATTATTTTAAAAAGATTGCGGCGCCTCTGGAAATGATTTTGGCTTTTGGAATGAGCTAAAGCCAGGTCTTTGATGTGTAAAGATTGTGATGGAATAAGAAGAGGGATGGAGGAGACGTGGGGCAGGGTTCCTCACAAACTGCACTGGGAGAAGGCACAGCACACCACGAAGGAGGAGGAGAAAGCCATAAACACTTTTTTGGACAGCACGAGCCCAGGAATGGGAATGGGAGCTTGGAGTGGTGGAAGAGAGGACACCTCAGGAGGATTGAAAGGCAGCAGCAGAACATCCTGATCAAATCAACTGCTGAAAAGGTGTCTTGGTCGAGACAGTTTGTCTTTGCAGATCAAACTGGGAAGAAGAAACAGCACAAGGAGCAATATGGTGTCAGTTTGGATCCCTAACAATGGGAGGAGGAAGATTCCTAGGTGGGATTATCAGGCTGAGATGAACTACATTAGCATTTCTACAAATATTAATAATATTTTTTTTTAACTTCATTTGGGAGGAGAAAAGGGTGGTGCAGTTCTCAGTGTTTTTTCTTATTTTGTTGTTTCTGTTATGATACTGACCAGTAAAAGCAGCATTATCTCAGCTGAGTGAGGTATCACATTAAAAAGGCAGCAATGAACTTGGGTGCACTTACAGGGACATGCAGTGATTAATCAAAGAGTGACACAGCTGGTCAGAAATATATATATATTATTTTTTAATGAAATACCTGAGTAGAATTCCAGGCCTCTACATTTTAGAAAGAAATAAAATGTAGTTAACTATRAAAAAAAACCCACACCAAACAACCCTCCCAAAACCAGAAAAACAAATATCCTCTGTAGATGAAATTGTTTAAAAGAATTAAAGTTTTCTGGCATTAAAACCCCCTTAAATTTCACATTAAATCTTTTTTAAAATGCCTTTAGATATGATGACAAGCTTCTTAAGCCGGATGAAATTCAGCAAGAAATGAGAGGACACATAATACTGTAAAAATTGAAGCTTAATTGTTATTGCCAGCTTCCCATCCACAAGCACTCATTCCCCTGAAATCCAGCATTCCTTAGCAGGAGAGCAGGGCTGAGCCACCTGCACAAACCTGCAAAGAAAGGAAGATTCCCAGCACAACAATGCAGGATTTTCACCTCTAATCGCATCCCACATTTCTGTGTATAGATCAGAGCTACATGGAAATTTGGTACCSAGCTCTACCTGGGGCGTTTTTGTTGTTCTGAGACATCATCAGCAATAAATAAAACAGCATCACTGCAAGAGCAGGGTGTTTGTGAAGCTGGGCACCAACAAGTAGGGATTAACCAGYGCACTGGAAATAATGAACCTTGACAGATCTAGGGTTAAATACTTTAAAATTAGATCCTGCTGAAAGCCGAATCTTGTTGCTTAGCAACGGCCGCATGGGATGCTGCTGTCACTCAGAGGATGCTTCTCCGGGGAGTTCACATCACGCTCGCACAAAATGGGCTGTGATTGGGGCGAGCTGACATCACATTTGAAGGCAGCAGCCAACACGATTGCGCTGGTTAACAGCCAGAGATTTAAGGAAACATCTTCTCTTTGGAATGGCTCAGCTCTGCCCACACCTCACCTGACCCAGGGAGAGCCTGCGTGGAACAGCAGGACRTGGCGGCCAGCACATCACAGCCAAATTCAACAGGTGGACTTTTCATCTTTTAAATTACTCACAGCCTAAAGAAAAGCAAAATGCCTGCTATTTGTGGAGGCTTCGCTGTATTCAGAGCATGGAAACCTCCACCAGCAGTTCAGAACGCATGCACAAAGCCAGTGAAAGAGAATAAAATGTACCCTTACTGAAAATAACTGAAAATTCAGTTCGCTGAGCTAATTTTAGCACTTAGCACAACTGGGGACCTACTGGATTTTAGTGAGGAACCAAGATACCAAGTGAATTACATTTWAAAAAAAGCCTTTGAGGCACAAAATCTGTTTTTCAAAGTGATGTTTTGTTAAGGTTGTTACAGGCATCTACAGAGACTTTTCTGAACACCTGCCTGGCAACTGTAAAGCACATGAGCACATCAGAGCATCTGAGCTTGGTCTGATAGCAGCCAAAATGTATTTTTAGRTATGACAATACCCAAATTCTTAGCTGCTGTCAGCAGCACCTCYGGAATGGACACTGAAATTGGGTATTCAGTCCAACCTAGTACCCTGCCCATTAGGGCTYGGAAAGTCAAGATATCACAGAAATGGCAACCAGCATAAAAGCAACACTCAGACACAGGTAGATTTAGGAAACTGGAACAACCTTCTCTGAACATTGAAAGAGGACGGGTCCTTCTTTCTTTATTTTGGCCAGGCTGTGCCAAAAAGTTKTTCCTTGTGAGCAGGAAAGTCACCAGGAGGGATCACAAAGATCATGACAGATCTAATTAAATCAATTTTCAGGTCATGAGCTGCCCAATTTCCTGCTGACTGGGGCTTCATCATTTGGCAGTGATGGAGGGGAACACAGATAGGGATATGTTAGTTGATAATATGATTACTCAACTGCATTGACCAGGTGAAGGCCATGCAGCAAGAGGCAGGGAAATACAGTTTTCAGGTTTCAAGGCACTCTGGAGAAGTGGTTTTCACTCCTCTCATGAACGTGCCAGCAGGCTGAACAGTGTGGAACTGAGGTACAGAGAAGCGGTTAAGAGGAATGAAGATCGTGTCTTCCAAACGGAAGACAAATAATCTTGGTTTGTTTACCAAGTCAAGAGTCTAAGGAGGGAAATGATTGCTTTTGTCCTGATGCAATAGGAAAATAAACACGCCGCTGTTTAGCCAAGAGCTGTTCAAACGAACCCTGGCAGAGGGGTGGCAGTCATTTTATATCAGCTCTGAGCAGTTCCTAACTGTAAGAGCAGAGTTCAGGGGAGTCTTCTGGAGGAAAGGGGAGGAAAAAATACCCAAAAAAATGCAACAGAAGTGATTTTGCTTTGCCTTCCCAGATGCGAGAACAACCCTCATGGGTAAAAAGAGGGAAGATTTTTATGTCTAAATATTTTGGGAAAGTTCACCGTAACAGCACTGCTGGACTATTATGGGATTATCTCTAAGCTACGTGTATTTACTCAGAAAATAAGAACACTTACAGGTACTATAACCTCAAAGCCTGTGAAAGAATAACCAGATTCCATGTCAGATTTAGACAACCATTTTCTCCAAATAAATCGAATCTATTAGGTATTTCCTCAACAACTGTCCTTAAAATACAGCTGATGTAAGTGCATAATTGCTTCAGCTAATGCTTTATTTTGAGAGTTGTGGCTCCATACAGAGGATAATTTCCAGCAAAGTCATAACAGAGGAAAACACTCTTGGGAAATTTAACAATGAGCTCAAGGTTCTCAGCATAATATAGTGAATAACAATTAGAAAGGTATCATTAACATATGATACATGGYTATGATTTTGTCCAACCTAATTAGAGAAGTTGTTCTCTTATCAGTCTATTAAGATGAACATTAAATCAAATATATTAATAGTGCACATATATTTTGTAATACGTGATTTAAATTTTGTTAGATACGGCAATGAAAGGAAGTCTTTGTTAACATCTAAGGTATCACTTCAAGTGCTGAGAAAGTTGTATGGACATCGGATCCTAGAGAGCAAGCTCAACTCAGTGACACCAGTGGGTTAAACAAACAAAAATACAAGAGAYGGACCAGTGTCTGCTTTTAACAAACATCATGTCACATCTTGTTTTCCTCCTCTGCTGCTTCTGCCTCTCAGGCGCTGGCAGGGCACATGCCACGTGTGTGCATGTGAGAGAAAACTGGCTCAGGACAGCAGGCTGAGGAATGAAATGGGATGGGSAATGTTACTGTGCTAGTGAAGAGGGCATTCCCGTGTGCTTTGCAGAAGGCCTTCTGTATGGAGAACCAACAGAAACATCAATCATTATCCAGAGAAAGTAAACACTGAAAAAAAACCCAAACAAGACCTCTGCTGCTTTATCCAGGGACTCGTTTTTAAAGTTACCTGTCCTGTAACAGGCTGTCGATCTTTGAGTTTTGTCCAAGCAACTTGGCCACAGCAATTYGGACACAGAACAGCAAATAATTGCAGATGTTTCATCAGCAAAAGATTCAAATTATTTCTGTTTAAACAAGTGCTTTGCACAGGAGGGCAGAAGTCATGCAGTGGTGTTTCAGCATTTCCAAGATATCGAAACATTCCTTGGGTTCCAGATTAAAGGATGAGATCCTGGCYTTAATAAGATGCTCTTCAACCATCYGGGGCCAGYYATGGATGAATGTGCCTGTAAGCAAATCCTGCTAGGGACTGACAGGTATTTTACATGACTTTCACAACCATCTGAACCTACAGTGATCACACATTTGGCTGTTCACATAGCCCAGTTTCGTGGAAGAAGTTTAAATGGGAGGGTGGAATACTCAGCACCATCAGAGAGTAGAGCCAAGGCTCTGCAGACAAAGAGAGAACACAGCGCTTTCTGTTTGCAATGCTGTTTATTTTAGAAAAGCCCCTTTGATCATCTGAATGAAAAATGTGGGCAGAAAAGTCACAAATGTTATAAAACAAAGTTTATTCTGCAATATTTTGTCATAATGAATTGCATCTCTTTGGTAAAAATAAAATTTATAAACATTTTAATTAACAGAGATTAGGATACAAAAAACTAAACTTTTGTAAATCGTCTTTAAAACAGGTAAAGGACTAAACGGGAGGAAAAACGGTTAGAATTGGTCACCTACTGGCAAAATTATTCTAAACAAATCCAAGGACATTGCTTATGCTACATTAGAAATAAGCTAACGGGAATGGTTTAAAAACAACTCTGGTTCGTTTGATCAGAAAGCATTCTTACAATTTGTTTTTAAATAAATAATAGTTACAATGAATTGGCAATTATAAAATGTTTTATATCACTATATGGCAGTAACATAATACTTTTAATTATGCACTTTTTAGTTTGARGAAATGTACACTTATAAAACAGACTTGATAATGGCACTGGCAGTTAGGTGTGAAGAATGTGCTTTAAGATAAAATAGCAGGTGCAACATTGAAAATATTCTACCTTTTCTTTTCAATAAATATTTTGACCACACCATTATTAACGTGTATGAGTATACTTTGCTTTAATTAAAGCTTGTACTTTTCAGGTTGATGAGAAGTTGCAAACCACACAACTTCCATTTTACAGCTGGATTTAAAACATGTGATGTGACTCATGCAGATCAGTAATTTAGGACTGGAATCTGAAAAGCCAATCTAGGKTTGTACAGTAATCACATCAGATTGACCCTGAACAGAGCAACCCTGCATACACAGGTCTCATACACTTCTTCACTGCATTTAAAGAATTGAATGTGGTTCATTAATACTTTTCTTGCCAAAACGTAKCCAAGTCAACCATTGGCATCAACATTTTACATATGTCACTAAAAAAACCCAAAGCCCAACAATCAAAATAACTTTTAATTATACTCCATTTATACTATATACACCAGGGTCTCTAACTGAGGTGGCAAACAAACCCGAACCCAACAGAYATGTGAGAGAAAGGAAGGGCAGCTCTCGTCCCACTGCCCAGAGAGGCCAGGGACAGCACGGTGGGACAGGCCAGGGCACAGCTCATCTGCCTCCCCTYTGGAAGCACACAGGGAAGACAGCAAAGCAGGAAGAGCAGAAGAGCAGGAAGAGCAGGGCCCTGCAGCTCTGTGTCCCAGGGAAATGCTGCCCTTGTTCCCCCTGCCACAATTCCACTTCTCCCGGGCTGCCAGCTCAAAGGATGGCTGCAGCTTTCACTGCTCACTTGTGATTAGTCACTGCTTCTCACTGTCATTGCATAAGGGGATTTAATGCATTGTAAATGTCCCAACCCTTCAGAGACACTGAGGGCATTGTCACCAGCTTCTGGGTAACAGCAGCACAGACACACTCCCTGTATTAACCCTCTCGAAATTTTATCTGAGGCAAAAAATAATTCAGAACCGAATCAAGCTGTGGAGCCCACTATGACCACAGCTTCCAGAAATGCTGGACCTTGACCCAGCTTTCACAGGAAGCTACAGAAAGCTGCARCCATTGAGCAGGAGGCAGGCAGCACCCCTGTTGGACAGTGTGAAATGGGAACCACCGAGCAGAACCTCAGGCTGCTCAGCTCTTTCTGTGTACCTGAATCGTCCTTTCCACACTGACACAACCTCTGCCCTTCCCAGTTTTCCATGAGAGTTCAAAAGCAACCCATGAGCAAAAAAAGCAGTTCCACCAAGCATTCACATCTTCACCTCCTGAAATCCTAACAACCACTCTGTTGGTACTTAATTTTCCTTGAAATAGCAAGTTTTACCTCTRCTACCCACCAGGAACACATCCAATAGCAGGTCTAATTGGCAGCGTTTGTGAYAGCCAGAAGACACACACCTGCACACAGGTGCTCACACAAAGCAGGAATGAAGCAAGAGTATTTTCCTTCCCTTTCAAGAAATAAATCATCCTTAAAACTGAATTGGAAAAAGAGAAAACCTAAAAACCAAAAAAAACACCAACTTTTTTTTTTTTTTCTCTGCTAGCGTTTGTGCTTTAAATTCCAAAACACAAAGAACCTCGAATATTTCAGGTGTGATCCAACAGCCATTGAGTCAGCAGGAGCACCACCGTTGTCTTCAAGAGGCACTGGAATGGGCCCTCAGAGCAACAGACCTTCAGCAGCATGGCTGTGTTTGCACTGGAAGCAGGCAGTTCAGGACAGTATGCATGAAGAGACTGACAAATAYGGAGAAAARAAAGAAAAAAGGGGAAAGAAAACCCCACACTAGTCTAAGAAAGGCATTCAAATAGCCAGGAAAATACTCCCTTAGGGAAAGATTAAATTTTGGCTGAATCCAGCACTGTTTTCAACAGTGGACATTGGTTTCCTAAGTGGCTCYGCTCCTAATTTCACCCAGCTTGCCCAACATCTGCTGGAAGCAGTAGCTTCACATTGGTGAGAACGTTTATGGCACATCATGCTACCTTTCAGCAACAGGAAAGATGACCTTGGATAGCTGTACACAATTCTGCAACATACTTAAGGCATCCTTGTATGTACAGTACTGTTAAAACCCACTCCAACAGAACTGCTTACCCATTTATGAACAGAAAAAAAAAAAAAAAAAAAAAAGGCATCATCTACAGGAAGATGTAAGCAATCACCACTGTTTTTAAAAGAAAAATAGGGATAAAGTTCAACATACCACAAAACACTTTTTGGCTGAAGGATGTCTAGGAACTATTAAGAGATCCTCTTATTGCAAAATTAATTGGAATCCTTTACATGGAAGTCAGAGCCCTTAGACAGAACAAAATTCGCCYCTGCAGATGGGGCCAGCAGAGATGTAAATATGATCCACAGTGTGCATCTGAGCAAACTATCTCTAAAAAAAAATAAAGTCAGCTATTGGAAAAAAAAAAAAAAAAGTGATCATTAAGAAGTATGCTTTCAGGTTTCCACAAGTCATGCGTATCTTCTAATTTGAAAAGATTAAATACTTTATTTTTCTTTTCAGGTGGTGATTTAAAAATAAATGGCTAAATTATAGCTTGCGCCAAAAAAAAAAAAAAGCAGTGAGTCCTCTTATGGCTTTGATCTCCCTTGTGAAGGGCAAAAGTAGAAGAGTATTGCCACAATTAAAAAAAATATATGTATATATTCAACACTGACAAACACATTATTTTTTCCTTTGCTTGTGACAGTGGGTCTTTGCAGTACTTATTAAGGAACTCAAGCACGTTTGGATGCCGGCAAGGTGGAGCAGAGACCCTGCTGCTTCCTTCAGCTCCTCATCGATCTCCTGACACAGCTCCTCCAGCWCTCTCTGGCTGGGCAGCTCCTCCAGTACTTTCTGGCTGGGCTGGCTTTGCTTGGAGGAACCCACGCGAGGCTGGGACGCGTAGCCGCTGTCTGCCAGAGGATCRTCCTCGTAGTCGCCGTCGGTGTCCAGCTCGCTGTGGAAGCCCTCGCTGCCGTCGCTGCCGTGGGGGCTGCTCTTGGAGATGAAGTCGTAGACGTCGTCCAGGGAGGACAGGGAGGAGACGCTGGAGCGGGAGGCGCAGCGCTGGGAGCCCATGCTGCTGGCGCTGTAGTTGTGGTCCTCGCTGGGGTCGATGTTGGTGGCGGCGGCGTCGCTCTCCTGCAGGGCCAGGGAGCTGCCGGGACTGAAGGCGCTGCCGTAACTCCTCTTCTTGGGGGTCTTCAGAGGCTGAGGCTTCTCACCTGTGACAAACAACGGGTGTCAGGAGGCAAATGCTGCGGTGAGGTCACCACACTGCAGCTGCCTGGCTGCAATGGGAGCCCAGTGCCAGCATTTAAAATCACAGTGTCACATTTACTGTCATCCACASAGGATGCAGTCTTCAGCTAATCTCWACCAAGAGCTAGAGGAACAGAGGAGCACACAAAAAAACTCTTCTTACCACCTAGCACAGAGAGGCCAGGGAAAGAACTTTGCAGAAAAAAATCAAAATTAACTGGGAAAAGAAAACGAAGGTTGCTTCTAATAAAACTCRTGCAATGCTAGCTAAAAGAATAATCAAACCAGATTTACTTCTTGACTGCTCTTACTGTTTCAAAACTAGACCATACTTGTTTCCTGAAATTTTATAGAGCAMGTAGTTAGCTACTGAGTAGAGAAGAAAAACAAGAGTAAAATGGCTTATGCTTACAGTCCAGCATCCCTTGTTGAATGGAAGTATTTAACAGCATCATTGCAGTAGCAGCATCAATATCAGAYTCTGTGAAGCACAAGCAGCAGAATGTTAGAACTCAGGTTAGCCTGACAAGATGAGGTCTCTAAAATRTACAAATATATACCTATATCTGTATGTATCTGCCTACACTGGCCTACATCAAAAAGACAGGGTGGGGGGAATGTACCAAGTCAGACAAAGCATGACCCTTGAACAGCTCAGCACCATTCCAGATCAGTCTCATACCTGAACTATGACATTCAGAGGCCGAGCTCTCACGTTGCACTCACCGAAGCCAAGAATCAGTGACACAATTAGACATTCATGTGACAATGCTGTTGCTATACTTAACAAGTGGCTTTTRTTTGTAGCAGTTGGGAGAGAAGGATTAGACCATGGCAAAGCACCTGAGCAGCTCCTGGGCTGGCTGTGTGAACGTGCCAGGCTGACAAGAGCCGTGCCCATGAACGTGGCACTAACTCAGCACACCTCCCTCCTCCAGCACCACCTTCCACACCAGCCAGTCAAAGGGAAGAAATTGAGACTATGAGGGGGGAAAGGGCACTGAACTGCTCAGTCCAGAATGCAGGAGGAGCTAAATAATAAATAGGCAKGTGGGAAGGTTGAGGGGAACTGTGGCACTGTCAGCTGCAGTGAGAGCACTGCTGCAAAATGCCATCCTTTGCAGAGCAGATTGCTTGCATTTCTGAAAGGCATCTTGGACAAGAGTGAGATTTSTAACCAGAACCAGGTGAACGGGAAAAGAAACAAGCTTTTCCCACTCCTTTCAGGACATGCCCATGCCCTTTAAAGAAGAGGAAATCCAAGGTGYTCCTTGGTTCACTTCAGCAATGGATGATGGATACTCCTTACACAGGACAGAAATATGTATGGAAGACACACCAGGCACAAGAGGAGCAAAGAGACAGTGAGGTCTCACACGGGCCTTGGTGTGTGAGAGCAAAGATCACATGTGAGCTGTAGGTAGGGATGACACAGGCATGAGCAGGGAGAACAGGGCTGCMAGACACTGTGCTGGAAGGGACCAGCAGGAAGCAGAACAGGCTCTCAGTTCTGCTCAACTGGAACACTGGGGGGAACTGGGAAAATAAAACAYCAGCAATGTCATTTTTGGTGGCATTTGTTTCCTTCCCCACATTACAGGCATTAACTTTATTACTGAATTTAAGGGGAGGGTGGCATTGGAAGGGGACTCCAGAGTTGTCAGTGTGGCTTCCTTATCCTGATAATTCTAACTTCAGCCCTGACCAAGGAGCGATTTGAAGAATATAACACCTTGGGAACGTTGTACCACCATGGGAAGGCAACTGAGCTGCTGTTTCCAACACGGGTTCTAAAACATACATATTTTTCCCCCATTCTTTTCCATGTCTTTCATTTTAAACCCAGCATACTTTAGGGTCTATCCCACTCCTGTGATTTTTTTTTTTTTTTCATTCTGCTTTGTCTTTCTTTGTCAGAAATAGAGCCCCTGAATTCATAGGTTATACGCACCCAACTGACAAAAAGAAGTAGAAAAATAAAGCATGAAGAATTACATTGGTCCACGAGTGTAAGCACAAGGTGAAATATCCCCATTCCTTACTTGCTACCACAGACATTTTATTTTATCAYCTCATGTTGGTATATCAGCACCACCTTGTTAAAATGACAAGCAATTGGAGGCATTAATGCAATGCAGGATTACTGCCCACAAAGAGTATTTCTCTGCCTTTCACTGTCCTTCTGAAAGAGCTTTAACAACACCCCTYTACAATACATGCTCACTTTTTGTTAGATGCAGCCCTTTTTGAGGACATTTCACGTTTCAGCCTGTAAAAAATTATTATTACTTTTGTCTTAGGATAAGCATTCAATATATTAAGCTTATTAGTGAGGTGCAAGAGCTGTGCTCAACTGGCTTCTTCAAAGGAAAGCCTCAGCACAATTTGTAGCTGCCTCTTTGTTCCACAGTTTTATACATTAAAATTTGCTGCCTTTGGATCTCAGTTCCTGGTGTCCAATAAAACTTTACACATATAGAGATATGCAGCTTTCAGATTCATCTTCTACTGAACTCTTCATTAAGTAGGTCATACTTGGGAGTGATGCATGTGCTGAACACTTTGCTGTCAGAACAAGATGGCCSCAATTTCACCTTGAAATTCACCTCATGGGTTTAAAATTAATACACAAGTAGCTAATACATTACACAGGCACTGTACTRCATCTGTGGGTTTTTGTCATCTAACAGAGCCTTGAGAGCAGGGGCAGAGACAACATCAGCRGGGCTGCAGTGGCTGCTTGTGACCAAAMCAGGGGAGGAGAGTGAAGGAAAATTCAAGATTTACCTTTGAGAGATCGGCCATGATTCTGCTGAAGGACTGAACTCAGGTAGTGAGGGGACGACGACCTACTGAAAAATAAAATTCAACAGCTCAAAGCCAAGCCCTCATTAGGCAAGTGCTTTGTACAAAGCACAGCAGACACAATATTACAATCCCAGAAGGGTAAAAAGAAAACCAACCCCACGGCCACAGGCWGGCAAGCCATTTCTGCTGCCCTCAGTGGATGGCTTGGCACTGGCTCACAGTTTGTGCAGCACTATTGCAGCCCGTGGCAGTGCTTGGAAAACACCCCCAAACACCCACACTGGGCAAAAATCTTGTAGGCAAGAGCCACTGCCTTCTATATAAAACACCTGCCTAAAGGCTGGATTTTAAACAAAGATACGTAATTTTTAGCACATGTGAACAAACCATTAGGTCATACAGGCATGCTCGGAGGAAGGGAAGGACCAGTGTGTCCATCTGCTTTTCCAAACTGGGTGGGCAGTTAACAAAAAATAAAGGGCAAAAACCTGGGGAAGAACAAAACAAATAAACTAACCAGACACCTGCTGATTTTAAAGTTACCTGAAGCTCAGCTATTTTGGTGATGCTATCCAGGGCTGCTTTTCATAAYCAGAGCAACTTTGCACCTGATCCCTAAATCCCTCACAAAATAAAGGGCCAGGTAAAGTTTTCATGCGTTTTTTTCCTGCTACACACCCAGCTCTAATTATTACATGTATTATAAATATATTACTCAGCCGTTAGAAGTAACTACAACAAAAATAGTACACACTATTAAAATTGCATGAAATGTAGCAATGTGCATTTTTTTATAGTGCTGCTGGAAGAATCTGAAGGGTGATGACAGAAATTTCAAGCTCAACCTGTAAGAGAAACCTCAGCTGAACGGGAAAATGTGTAAAAATTAGGGTTGTGTCTGGTATCTTTTCTTGTAGCAGTGATGGAGCACAAAGGGAAAAGATCCAAACATGGATGGGGAATAATAAAACAAAATGAAAGCAGTGGTCCAACCTAGAATGGCTTTGCAGCCCACATGGCCATTGTACAAGWGATGCTAAACACCTTCATGCTTTTGTCTCAGCTCAGACCCTTCAGAAATCATGTCCACACAGGGCTCCCCAGGAGCAAAGGAATGCCTGGTATTGATGAAGACAAGCCACACTTGTGGTTTCTGCAAAGTGAGGGCTGTGGCTGCCTCCAGGGCTGTAACTGGTGTGGCACCAGAACCAGAACGCAGCCAGGGGCTTCACAACGACTTGTTGAACAAGCTGTGCAGAAATAAAATACATCAGGGATGCCAATCATCTATGGTAATACAAATTTCAGTGTCACTAGACACAGATTATAGTTTTGGAAAGCTTCTGCTCTAAGTAGCAGATTAAATTTGATTTTAAAATCACACTGAATGATAGGCACACTCCCCACAAACACACTGTAGAACAATCATGAACACCAGCCTTGCCACAGAAAAATTCMTAGACTGTCACAGCTGAATTCTAGGATCACTCTGTAGACAAATTGGGGCAGTACTTCCAGCCTCTCTCCAGCTGCACCTCTGGGCTTCCTCTTTCTCTACAACAATGCAGATCCTTGGGGGCCCTTCCCCAAAATTAGGCCAAAATTTAAATCAAATCCAAGCACAGAAGGGGAAAAAAATCTGTTGTTCTGTGTGTGATGGAAAGCCACATAAATGTTTTTWATTACTGAAGGAAAATAAACCAGCTTTCATTAGCGAGCAGTTTGGTATCTGAATATGTTGTTTCTTATTTTCTTGTACTCATAAATACAAGCACTGCAAAACCCTTCCCGTGTTGAAGTCAGTGGGAATTTTGCCATGTGGCTTCATTAGATCCAGGATTTCCTTGTAATTGTTGGCAAGTGTAACTAGTACTTCAGTAAAGGAAAAAAAAAAAGTTCTCAAAAACAACAGCTTCGAATTAAAGCCCTGATCTTCCAAGTGCTTGAGCATGCAGATGAAATGTCTCYTTCCTTACACCTAATTTCAGTGTGTTGCATTTATCCAAGCTAAGCAAACAACACTTAACACAACTTCAGCTGGACTAATCTTGGAGACTCTGGAGACCTCAAAAGCTTAACTGGTCAAGGCTTTGAACACCCTACCCTAGGCTGAGTCTGTCTTGATCCTCTGCCCCTCTGGCAGGACAGACAACATCCAGAGGCCCCTTCCCATCTGTATTATTGTCTACATTTCAAAGTCTGGCTGTACTAACAAAGTGTATGAAAGCTCCCAAGGACCAAACCTTCACTTGARCTGTACCCAAACCCAAACCCATACCCGTGCACAAAGACATTAAAGCCTTTTAATAGAAAAGAATTAACCTCTAGAGCCCCACTGCAGCCGTTTCAATAATCTTTATTCCCATAAACCCAAGCAATACCACCAGTCATCTCATACTCTCCAATCTGACTATTTCTTAATACTAGAATGTATCACAGATATTTTATGCTCCCAATTCCAACAGAAAGCTGGAAAACCAGGTAATTCTGCCTGGCTTGCTGCAAACCAGGATGGTCCTGGGCTGGACAGAGACCAGAGACCACAGGTTACATCTTGTGGGTTACAAGACTGGCTGGACAAGCCCATCCCAACCAAAAACCTTCAGCCCCTAAGGTTTGCACAGGGGAGCCAGCTCCAGGGTCAGTGTCCTGTTGGACCCTGTGAAATGTCTGCTCTGTGTTATCAGCCTTACATCCTGCTSCAGGAATCCCAGCTCCTCCTGTTTGTTAAGGAAACTCCTTGCACTAAGGTTAAGGCACAGGGCAATGTACAGACACCTTAATTACCTCTTATCTCACCCAAATTCTTTCCTGAACWAGACAAACCAGCCACATGCCTTCCTCAGAACTGAGCTCACCCAACGTGCTCCTCTGCTTTCTGTCCTCCTGCTGCCACAGGCTGGCCCAGCTGCTGCTCCTCTTCCTCCACTCAGGACRCATGAGGTTGGCTTCAAATTCTCCAGAATCTACTGCCTAATCTTAAACCATGCTGGTAAGGAAGTCCTGGTTTCAGAAGTCTAGCATGCCCTACCTCAGGGTACACTTATGGCAAAGATTGTTGCTTCCATCCCTGCTGCAAAAAGCTTTTAAACATTTTAAGCTAGCCTTGGAGAAAAACAACCCTCTCAGAGCAGCTTCTCTAAGCACTTCAGACTGTGGAAAAGTTGATTGTTTTGGACAACAGCACTGAATGGATACATTTCATGTGCCACTTACACCAGGACACCACCTCCTCCACAGAGCAGCACCAGGCAGCRCCCTAGCATAGCCTGGATGAAGTGTGCTGGAAGGAGCATTTTGCTCCAGTTCCCAGACTGCTTGCCCTCCTGGAGAAACTSTGCTCTCCAGTAAGCAGCCAGCACACCCTGACCTTCTTTGCAACTGTGCCCCAGTTAATGAGAGACTTGGACACAGCCCAGATGTGCTATCTGGGAAGCCTGAGCTCTTTCCCTGCCTCAGCCAGCTGCTGCCTCCTAAGCCCCACTCCAACTCTGCTCTGGGGTAGCAGGTAACAGCACACCAACACCTTCTGCCCCCTGGAGCAACACAACCTGCTGGAATGAGAACCTTCACCTACCTGGGTGGCGACGCTGGTGGAGTATAAAATGCAAGTGCTGAGGAAAAAGGCTGCTTTTTCAGTGCTTGGACGAGATTAGGTTTGTATTTAGGGTCAACGCACCACAGCGACCCTTTCCCATTCACCTGCAACAAAGAAACACGGCACATTAGGAAATTCAGGAGCAGGCTGTTGCAGTCCTTTCCAGTTTAATACCCCAAGCTGCAGCACAGTGCACTGACTGCTCGTGGGCATGCACCTCTACAGCTGATGCACAACATCCACAGGCAGCTCCTCCAATTGGGAAAATGCTCCTGAGACCCCCACTATACACTGTGGAATCACCCATCCTGCAGGCTGCCATAGCATCTCCAAAACCCACTCTCTAAAGCCCCAGTCCCATTTGTTCCCCAAACCAGTAAACCTTATCTTAACACTCGCTAAACACTGCTGTGAGTTTAAGGATCTGCCCAGGCACCAGCAAACTGATCAGCAATCTTTTCTTTAYCAGGTTTCCAGGTAAGAAACCAAAGCACCTTTCCCTTCGTTCACATGTAGACACATACTCATTTAACTTTATCCCACCCTGGAAAAAGATCTTGCTCAATGCCCAGCTATAAGATGGATTATTCACACTTTTACAAAATCTGAAAACCTAATTCATGTACTTTTGATGCACCTAACGACATTAARTACTTCTGTTTTAGTCATTCTTGATTTTAAATTTGATATATTGAAACTTAAGCAAGATAAAGCACCTCTTGTTCCTCTCAGGTTTCTTCAAATGTACTAAATAATAAACCTATTTTTTGAGCCTGCTAGTTCTTGCAACTTAAAGAAGAAAATTAAATAGGAAAGTAAAAACCATTCTATAATCATTGACCTGAGATCAGCTGAAAGCTCTGMATGTAGCAGCATCAGATTTTCTGGGGAAAACAGATGTTTCAGRAATAGAAATGTACATGGCTGAAGGATGGGGCAGCTGTACACCTGAAGAGTAAAATCCTTCTTAAGGATTTTTTGGGGCTAAACATCAGAGCAGAAACACAAGCTTTCTGGAGAAGCTCCTGTGAGCCCACAGTGGCAGCTGSCCTCCTCCTGCCAGTATCATGGGGGGCAGAAATACCAATTTAAGGACAGGTGCTCCCTGACTTACTCCAGACTGAAAAGGACTTACAAAGCATGTAASTCTGTGGTTCTATTTCAGTCACAGGGCTTTGCTGAGAGGAGGAAATACCTTGCTATCAATAGAGAAAAATCAAGCCAGGSAGAGCCCCAGCTGAGGAAGAGATGCAGCTCCACAATTGTAGAGGAAACCACTGTCTCTCACAAAGAACTCTGAGCTGCCATATCTCTCAGTTATTTTTTTTAACCTAAGTTTTCMTTATACTCATGTTTTCCTGCTAAAACTGAGCGTAGCCTGTATGATACTTAATCAAGAAGCTTACTTTTAATTAATAAACAGCCATGGTGGCTGGCAGGATGATTCAGTCACCTAGGCACTAACAGGGGCACCCTCCCAACTGGCTCTATCCATCACTTCAATAACAGATTTAACAYCCTGATCCTATTCCTACACCTCTTTCCCCAGCATCCCAATCTTTCCCAACTGTTTTTTTTTTTATCCCTCCCTTTCACAATTTTGAGGCTGTTGTCCTCAGGGAGCAGCAGGAACTCCCCTGATCAGCAAACCACTGCTCTACATTGTTTATCTGCTCCTTTAGGTGAGCACTTTCCCTTCATGCCTCGTCCAGTTCAGCTGCTGGGGGTTAGTTCCCCTCTTTCATCTTCCCAGCACGATACTCCTCCAGTTTGCTGCCCTGGCAACACAACACGAGGATTTTGGGTGGGTATTGCAGCAGCACGCTGAAGGCGGGCACACCCTGAAGCCATCCACACTGACAGATCCAGTGCAACAGGCAGCACACAGGGTGACTGCTTCTCTGGGTCATGTGTAATGTGAAACCACACTTCCACCCACCTCTGGAGATGCTAAAAGTAGACACTGAGCCAAAGGGGTGATGGGGCTGCTCCTGGGCTTTGCCTGCACCCTCTGCTTAGAAAAAACGGTGGCAGAAGTCCAGCCCAGGTCTGAAATGGAGTGTCATGTGATGAGGAAAGCCTGCGACAGCTGGAGCTGGAAACGCCACAGAACCAATCTCCAGCTTTAAAATCAGCCAGAACAGACTGTGCCTTTCCTCCTAGCAAGGACTAATTCAGGACACTCKAAAATGCTAAACTGCCTTTGGAGGTTAGTGTTTCACATCAACACTGAGGCAAGTGTTGGAATGCAATGTAGGTGTAACTTTTACTTAAGACACAGAGAAACATCCCTCCAGAGCAGGTGAAARGAGGCCACCAGGCTCTTGTTACTCTGCAACTCCAAACAGGGGCAGACATTTGGCTCTGAGATTAGTTTTTGGTCCATCRTCTTCTCTGCATCTCTCTAATGTTTCTAATTTGACTTGCAGGATTTTATTTAGGCAAAAATAAAAGAAAAGAATGTTTTGAAGCACTGGAGCTATTCTGCAAAGACAGTCAGCTTCCAGCCCCCACCGTTTCAGGGCTGGAGCACAGAAACATTGGTTGGAAACGATGCCTCCCATGACCCTTCCTTATCCTTTACCACCCCTCCACCACAGTCCTGCACCAGCCCAGTGAGTAAAGCCCAAGGAACAACCAAAGCAGAGCAACTCAGCTGGTGCTGGTGGCTCAGGCTCACTGCAGGCACATGTCCCTGTGCTGCAGAGAGTGCCCAGCAGCCTCAGAGCTGGGCAGCAGGCCTGGCTGCATCAGAATGGACAGTGCTCACCAGCACCTGAGCACAGTGAACCACTGCACAATGCCAGCTGTGTGCAAGCAGGTGGATAACACATTCACAATGAAGTTCACCAGATAAAAGGCAGCTTTCTGCTATCTCTATAGGCTTAGGGATGGGACCTGCCCTGCTATTCACCCAAATACCTGAAGAGTTACACAGATTGTTTACCCCCATCTCTTGACAAAAACGCCAATCACGTACAAAAACCTAAACCACACACATACCAAGAGGAGGAGTTTCTGGGAATATATTCAAGCCCTATAACCCCCAGCCTCTAGAGAAAACAGTGGCAGGGCCACTCCATGCAAGCAGTTCCTTTCCCTTCAGCAACACTCATTGAAAGAAACAACAGCATTTCACTTTTTCCAGTGGTCCAGGCAAGGACATTCTTCCCCCAATGTGTGCTGGATGCTGTCCTGGACTCCTGAACCCCTGCAGCCTGCAGGTATTTTGCTGACTGATGCAAATATACACACAAACAGAACTACCAGCCACAGTTTGGACCATGCAGAGCTGCAACACGATGTGGCACAGCGTGGTGGAGGAGCTCTGCATGGTCAGGGAGCTGGTGCTGAGGTGTCATCTCTTTGTGCCATGCATGTTCTGCTCACATCTGCTCCAGCAGGGCCTTGTGCACAATCCCAGAGCCACCAGGGCACAGSATGCATGCTCCTGCAGCAACTCTTSCAGCTCAGTACCAYCCAAAATCAGTCCMGTGCAAGTGTCCTGAAACTGCCCTGCAGTACCAGCTCAGGGGGAAAGTGTGGAAAAATCCYATTTCCTTCAATGTGCGCTCTCAATCCAAAATAAATTATCAGCATTATGGCAAAGATGATGATGGACTCTTCCTGCTTTTGCTGCCAGACCTTGAAGAGATGATTTCACAGCTGGGAGSCAGCAGCAACAGCAAGGGAGGTGTCAGAGAGTGGCTTGCCCTCAAGGGTACAGACCATCCATCCCCTACTACCACACATTTACAATCTTCCAACAYGTGAGTTCAGATTCATTAGAAAGGCTTTAAAACCCTTCTTACCCTGCTGTCACCAAATAAACCATACTCCTCTGATATGATGTGCCATGGACTTTTCTGCTTCCACAGKCACTTGGCATAGAGGAGAGCTGCATACTCCCTTTCAGATATAAAATGCCATTAACAAATTAAAAAATGGAAAAAATACAAAATTATCTTGCCCTTTCAGGGAAGCATCCAGAGGCCTGGCTAGCACATGGTTACATGCAACAGGACCAGCAAAATGAGCYTGTGAGCAACTGCTGCTTGCTCCAMGTGACACCTGAGCAGCTTGTCCAAAGGGGTCTGCAGCATTTCCATCATCTGCCAGATCAACTCCCGTGGAGTCCAGATGCTGAGGTGTGCCACAGACTTATTTTGCAGGAAGAATATGGAGCAGTATCGTCATCTGGCCCTTTTCTATGTGGGGCAGAGCGTAAAGATTTAATTGCTGTTTGTTGGAAATGAGGAAGCTTCAGCAAAGTTTCAGGAGGGGCTTTTTTGGGGTGGGTTTTTTTTGGTAACCACAGTTTCTGTTCTTTAGAATTAGAGAGCTGTGCAGTTTCAGGAGCCCTGGGAAAGCACTGACAGAGCACATCAGCATCAYCTTGCTGGGAGCAGTGGGAGATAGTGTGCATTTTGCTCTTCCTACCAGAGATGTCACATCGAGCAGGAAGGCATCCTGTGAGCCCAGCAATATTCATGGAGATGCCAGGGTAAGCAGGGCACCAGGCAGTCTCAAGCTCCTGGCACCCCAGCGCCAAGACAACAGGTTTGACTGGTAACTCATGAGGCTGGAAACAGCAGAGCATTAAAGGGCAGAACCATACACAGAAGGAAATCATACACCGATTTAGATTTGCCTTTCCTGCCCCAATTCTTCTGAAACTCATGTCACCCCGGCCTTTAACAGCACTTCTGCCACCTGCAGCAGGTGTGTGGCCCCTGCTCAGATCCAGCCCTCCACACAGGCACAGCTTGAATATCTCAGTGACCCCATTACAGCATCTGGAGCCACGTTAAGAGCCCGTCCTAACACTCAGCAGGGCTGGGGGAGGGGGATGCTACCGGGCTCGTCACATCACAACAAAAACTCATTTAATTTTTTCAGAGCAAAGCTGCTGCTTGGGCAAACAACACCCTAACAATTCAGTGTAAGGAATATTATGAAGCAGTGGTGCTCAGTCCTATCAGCACAAGGCAGTCCTCCTCAATGGCCACTCAGCTCCAGGACCCATCTCGACAGTGAGAGGCTGTCAAGCACGCCAGGCATTRCAGGCATTTCTGATAACAAGCCTGCTGCCATCGAGTCTGACCTCCAAGCACAGGACTTKTTTGTTGACTTTCAGTCTGTGGTTTGTTAGTTTAAGTCAGAGCCAGCTCTTTGAGGAACAAGATGGGAAATGAGAGAGGGAGGAAGAAAGTCACTGGCAAAATCCTATAACTCAGAAGAAAGAACTTGTACAGGAAAGAGTATCCTTGACTTTAAGAAGCATGTCTGCACCATGCAGAGACACACAGGACAGATGTTAAAGCATTACAGTGCATTAAACGCAGGAATTAATACAGTCATTGGAAAGCTRGAGCTGTGCTAAGTGTAACAGGAGRCCACAAGTGAAAGAGTCAATTTAATATTTGAGAAAGCTGCTGGACTGAGGARCACTCAGCCACGCACATCCCACAAGCAAGGGCACCTTGCAGGGGATCACATCTGCACCCAGAGAGGAGACATCCCCGCTAGCCAAGCAGGGAAGCTGGCTGGCATCCCATAATCTCCTCTGCTTGCCAGTGCGATTATAGGCATGGCTGTGCTGGAAWGGCAGGGAAGGAGGAACCTACCCCAGCATTCCAGCACGGGAAATAGAGAAAACACTAGTTTAAGGGGCTTCATCAAGAAGAAATCCTAGGAGGGCTTTCTGAAATTTCTGGCTGGTTACTGCAGGCTAACAGTTTTTTGCAATTGCATGTGTGTCAGATTTCAAAAGGATGCACCACTGCTGGGAGTACCCAGGTGAACAATAAATAACAACACCCAGTGACTTGTCAYCCTGTGATTTCTCAGAAGCAGCATTTCCAAACCACCTCCATCTGCAAATAAWGCATTAAGAGGGCACAGTGAGGCGAAGACAACCCAAACAAAACATCCTTAAGAATAACAGAACCTTCTCCATTTCTCCCTGAAGTTCAAAGTTGTTCCACCTCCCTCCTGCCAAGTCTCACCTTGCCATGGCTTTTCTCCACCTTTCGGAAACACTTGTTCAAGGAGAGGTTGTGTCGCACCGAGTTCTTCCAGCCAGTGGGGGCTGTGGCGAAATAYGGGAAGCGGTCCAGGATCCAGCTGTAGATTTCTTTGACTGGCAGGCTCTTGTTGGGGGACTGCTCAATGGCCATGTAAATGAGAAGGCTGAAAGAGTAAGGAGGTTTGGAAGTGGAGGATTTTTTCTCAGGGTTCTGGTAGCAGGACGGTGAGAAGGATGGCACGCTGTCACCCTCGATGTCGTACAAGGGGCTAACAATCGGAAGGCCCTCGCTGCCGAGGCTGAAGTTTGTTAGCAGGTTAGTACTTTCGTGCAGCCAGTTCAAATTTGTGAGCTCATCATCTGSCGAATCTCTGTCCACCACGGTGGCCTTTGGCTTGCCGGCGTCGCCCGCGTCGGGCAGGCTGCCCATCCCATGGCACTGCCGTARTCCTGCGGCTTTTTCTGCTCCGGCCGTTTCAGCTTTCTTATCCGGAGTCATTCCAGTGACTGGACCCATTGAGCTTTAKTGGTCTGCAACAAAGGACATGGTCAGAAATCACTGCAAACCAGCAAAATCCCATTCAGCAGGAGCCCACCAAACCCAAGTGCAGGGCTGCACCATCCCCATGCTTTGCAAGAACACCAAAGCCACTGATGAGAGCCAGGGTCCAACAGAGCTCCCAGTAAACTCACAAGCATCTGTGAACTCCCCTTGGTTTATAAGCAGAGCTTATGGGAAGCACTTGGAAACTGCTGTATCTATCTTGAAACACCAATTCAGACACAGAAATAATGGCTATTTGATGTCAACATCCGAAATCTGGAAAAGACCTTAACAGGKAGGATCTAATCCACTCAGCTCTCAYGTTAACTCTTAAGTTRCTCATTATATTGYACACTGAYRCTGCTTAGAAGTGTTTGCCTTTGGTGTCCAAAGAGTGAAAAAGGAATTTCAGAACTTCAATCAGCATGAAGTCGGTTTGTGGTCTCACAAATGAAATCTTTCCAGCCCCCTACAAGTCACAGCCATTCCCAAGTGCTGCTGCCTCTTTCTASCAGGGGAAGATCTGGCCAGCTATCAGCTGGGTCCCACAGAGCTGCCTGCATCCAAAAGATCTTTTTCCCCTCCTGCAAGGGCTTGCTGCCCCAACCCRGGCTTCCCCGCAGAGCAGAGGGTGCTGGGACCAGCTCTCAACAGGAAAGGACCATCCACAGGGGTGGCAGTTCAGACCTGGTGCAGGAATAATGGCTAACCATTTCAGAGTAAAAAAAAAACACCCAAAAGAACAAAATACTAAAACCCTAACCATAGAAGTATTATCTATAGAAAACTGCCACCCAGAATGCACAGCCTAACAGGCTGCCCATGCTTTAGAGGCATTGCTCCAACAACAACTACCTTGCTTGTAAAAGGGGTCTTCTAGCACACTTTGTWATGGGAACAGCTACTTTTTTCCCAGCTGATGTGAACATGTTAGAGCTTCACTGCATCCACAGCTTTGGCCAGCACAGCTATACCAAAAGTAAAGAGCAACAAAACCACTGTGCAGATGGATGCAGAGTGTGTACACACACACACACACACACTACGGACACAGGACACTCCAGCTATGGATGCAGCTCACCAGCAAAGCTGAGGTTCACACGAACTGTAAAAAACCTCAACAAAACAACCAAACAAAAACCCAAACCGCAGTCCAGGTCCTTGTCCCCGTAAGTGCTATCATTGTGGTTTCATGCTCCAGCTCCCCTGSCAGAGCTCAAGACAAGGCCAGTGTCCATATCACATCTCACCAGACAGCTCTATGCAGTTCCTGCCTGTTTTCCTACAGCAGTCTGCAGTAAACACTCCCTGTGTCTCCTTGCACATCTTGTCCCCCAGTGAGCCCAGTGCCTGGCTGTGCCACCCCAAAGGAGCAGCTGTGACCCTCAGCAGCCTGGCGGTGCCCATGGCAGCACCCTGCCCAGCCTGCCTGCTGATGGATTTGCTCGGCCTCCTTCTTTTGGAGAAGGGAGTGMTGCATGCAAGGGACGTGCAGAAAGGCAACAGGAGAATCCATGTTATGCCAGCCCCTGCCTGGTGCCAGGCACTCATGAGGTGCAGAATTTGTGCCTCCTGCAGAAAACACACTGTGTTTCCCACCAGCCATTCCTGCTCCTCTCTTCATCTGCTCTCATGCTCTTGCACCAGCTATTGCAAAGCTGTGTTGACAACAGCACCTGCACTTACACTTTCCAGTAGCAGTGCTAGAAAACAYCCATAAATTTTTAATTTTCTGTTTCTTATTCCTATTAAGTGCAGGGACGGGTATGATTAGCTACCAGCTCAGTCAGTATTAAAAAAAAAAATAAAGCAAAGTGAGCTGCTCAAATAGCTGGTCAAAAATAGCTTTGCTCTCCCTTCAATTTCCTTCTCCCCCAAGGCACCAGAGCAGATTTATATTTGCAGCAGTGATGGCTGGCTTTAAACACAGCCATATATACATATGCTCATGTCACTTCTTCAATCCTTCTGTAAATTAAAAAAAAACAAAACAAAACAACCAAACAAAGAGCTAGTGACAAAATTCATATAGTGAGAAAAACCCCAACTCTGCTGCAACATGAGCTGCTCTGTTCTCTTCACAATGAGCAACTTTGCCCTGTTGTTCAGCACCTCTTTAGGCAGCTACACAGGAGCTTACACCTCACACCCGTGTTTTGGTAATTTTAGCTCCTGGTTCATGTTGCACACAAAATCTCCCTTTACAAATCTTCAGTCAGCATGGYGGATCAAGAACATGCACACAACTCACACACACATGACAGCCTGAGGTCACTGTATTCATTCCTTAGGGGAAAAGGGGCAATAAAGTCTGTTTTCAACATAAATATGGCCTGGGCACGCTCAGTCTTCTCAAAAATATAAGGGGAAAAAAATTACTAAGCTGGCACTCATAATCAGGTAGTCTTTGTGGTATCAATACACTGTTTGCATGCTACTAGGTTTTAACAGATAATCATTAGCATAATTAATGCCCTACATGAAAATAAAACTTATTTGCAGGCAATATACTTACAATAAATAATATAGGTTAGTGTCATGTTTCTTTTAGCAGATGCATTACAAAAATGCACACATCTCATACCTTCTTATCCTAGTTCACCACCTCACACATCTTCTACRTGAACACATCAGAAACAGATTTTTTTTTTCTAGAAAGGCATTGAGGCCATTATTAGACTATTATCAACTAATAAATAAAAAATCAAATCACAGGAGCAAAACCAGTGCCACTGAAGCATATCTGAAGGTATATAACTGGTCAGCTTGTGTGCTCCCCAGGACACCTGTTCATCCACACAGATCCTCAATGACATCCAAAATCCATAATTTTTTTCTCCATGCTTGCTCTGATTGTCCAGAAGCAGAGCGGGCTGTGAGAACACAGCCTCCAAGCTGTCATTTACAAGATTACCCCTTCCAACATCTGGGGGTTAGAATTTTACATAAGGGTCATGGAATTCACCAAAGCCATCCTGGCTGTAAGCTGGCAGTGTTTTGTGCTCAGGGATGAGCCAGCAGAAAAACCACAGTAAAAGCAAGGAGAGCAAACTGTGAGAAGGAAAGAGCACAGAAGCAGCTCTCCAGTGCAAATGCTTTGATAATTCCCATGGGGACAGCCCCAGCCCTGCAAGCAGAGCCAGAAGGCAACCTCCAGCCAGGCAAATGGACAAACAATATGCTTTAAGCACACCTCTGAAAAAGGTGCAAGAGTTTGTGCTCTGCCCAGTGCTTTACTCCAAGGAGCACAGAGTGACACAGCACGCTGCTGCTCACTGGTATTGAACACTCCCAGCTGGAAGAAGAGCCTCATGCATCCAAATATTAAGGAACTCAAGCATCTATCTCCTGTCAGCACCTTCAAACGAAAGGCCAACCAAAGCAAACTCCTCCAAGTATCACAGCAGAGGTGCACATCATTCTGCATGGTAATTACAGACAAAGGACTATGATTCCAGGRTAAGAAGATTAGAAGTCTGAAAAGTCAACTGAGGTTGCTCAAATAAAAGTTAGGATGCATCAGAAAAGAGGTGAGAGACACAACTTTCTTCCAGCAGTCTGATTTTTGGCATCACATAAAAGCCTGGAGCAGACCTTGCTGCTAATCCACMCCAGTCCAGCAGCCAAAGCCCAGTGAAGACCTGCTCTTCCAGACCACTCATACCCCAAAGAGCAGAGCCCCAGTCCAAAGGGCTGATTAAGGCTGCAGGTGGATTCAGGCAGCAGTCAGCTCCAGAGAACACAAACAGATCACAGGAGACTCAGTGTCTCAAGACAAGGTAATACTTTGTGCAGCCTTTTCTCAAACTCACTGGCGAGCTCAGTTTGGGAAAGGTTAWGAGTCCTGAAAGGTCCTCAGCCTAGCAGAGCACATCGGGGTTAAACCAGGTTTGCAAGGCCCCACAAACACCCCCAGCTGTGACTGAATTTTGATCCAAGACCTTGCGCACTGGTACGTTCTGCTACAGGAGCAAACGGTTTGATGTGTGGGCATTGAAGGAAGGCCAACCATGTAATGAAAATGGAAGTCCACTTGGGCACATCCTCAGGCAAGCAGGAAGGCACATGTGTTTTGCAGCAGCCCTTCTTGGCAGAAGTCTCAGCTCCAGCAGGCCCAAAGGACAAAGCTGAGGCAGACACCACCAACCCAGSAAAGGTGGCCCTCTCCAAACTCAGCAGCATGGCAGGTGTCAGTGCACAGGTATCACTTTATACTGTGGCCACCAGGGCTGGACTCAGTGACCTGGCACGACAGAGCTCAGCCTCTGTGTCAGAAGATGCCACAGCCGTGTCCATGCCGAGTCAGCACAAGAACAGAGCTGCTGCTGCTGCTCCATCCTTCTTCACGGTGGCAGCAGATGAAAGGTGCCCTTTTGGCACCCRCACAGCATCAGTGCCCCAGGTTAGSACAACCTTCTCCACAASTGAAACACGCCTCTTCATTCCTGCAGGAGCAGCCAAGCAACTAGGTCACCTCTGCCAACAGTGGCAAGACCTGGAGCCTGCCAACARTGCAGCCATTTCCCTCCAGGTTTTAAAAATTAAAAAAATAAATCTTACCATGCACTGCCCAAGTCTGAGGAGTCGGACATAATTTTAATCCAGGAAAGGAGCTTTTCAGCCATCCTTAGACTAATGACAGCAGCTCTGCACCCACTCTCTCCTCMAGCAGCTCAGGGTGTGCAGCCTCAGTTACAGAACCAGGCAGTTGTGCTTTACATGCAACTTCTKCACTGACACAAACAGCTCAGTAAGAGTATTTAAGATGATTGGTGCATGCTTTTGCATGCAGGCAACTCCATCAGTAGCAAACTCTGCTATTGATTTTTCATATCCTCATACATCGGCAAGAAATGTAAGGGCACGTCCTGACTGAAACACATCAATGTGTGTTGCCAAAACAGCCCAAGATTTACACAAATAAATGACTGTGACTGCTCACCTAGCCAAGCTGGGGATAAACTTCCACACAGGACCAGCTGCAAGT